CCCCAAAACCCCAAAACCCCAAAACCCCGTGTTAAGAATTCAATTAGATTTAAGAGTTGGGTAATAATTTAAATTCAAATTTAAATAACGAATGCTTTTCAACTAATATAGGTAGATCAGAACCAATGAGTCTCAGAGTTTTGAGCAGCAAGACTTTAATAATGATGGCTCAATGCATGTGCTCGCTTCTGAAAGAGTAAACTAACTTAAGAAAGAAATAGAAGATCTTGATAACAAACTAATGAGTACAAATACCATTAATTTTTAAGATCTCAAATCTATTCGCCACTAGACAATAAGTGATAATCCTCTAAATTCTAATCATTTTGAAAAAAGTTTCAACCCATATCCCAAAAACAATGATTCTTTTACAGACGATGAAGAAGAAGATCACTACCAAAATTACCCAGATCACCAAGGAAAATATGGAACTATTAGCAATAAAAGTTATGAAATTGAAGAATAAATCTTAAGAGGATAGCAAAGAGGAAAATCAAGCTAAAACTATTCTGATAAATTGAAGCTAGATCATAACTATACTACCAGTGACTTCACTGATCAAATAGGAAGTGCTTAGAATAAAAATAATCACTATAATTTTCAAACAATAACTCCTCAAAGTAGATAATTGGTAGGCCAGGGGAACGGTCAATACGGAAAGTTAAATATGACAAATATGAGTCATCTTTCTCATGAAGGTGAAGTGTCATTTGATCTCGAAAAAATTTACCAAAAGCGCAATGAAAACATAAAGTCAGCTTTTGAGAGCAATCTTAAAGAGAAGAAGGAGTTTATCCAAAGTCTTGAGCATAAACTTAACAATATTTAAAAGGATTGTGATGCTAAGACGTTAAAGTTAGCTCATCTAAAATACGAGAGAGATAACATTATCAATCAAATTTAAATGGAAGAGCTGAAGAAGAAGGAAATGTAAAAAGAGGTTAATGAACAGCAGAAGAGAATAGATATTAAAAGAAAAGAAGACGAAAGGGCATATAATCTTGCTTAAAATGAGATAAAGAGAGGAATCGTCCAACAAGAACAAACGTTACAGCAGCTTTATGAAAAATCAGATTTATTGAGCCTTAAACTAGGAGAAGTATAATAAAACATTCATGAGTAAAACAAGCTTTTCGGCGGTTAGAGTGGGACTTCAAATGAACTAGAAGAGAGAATAAATTAGCAAAGGTAAAAGATTTCATCGCTACAATCAAAAAGACTAGATGTTGAGAATAATGTTCAGCTACTAAGGGACTTCCTTAGATAGATTAGTGAAGAGATTTAGATGACTCAAGAAGATTTAAATGGCAAGCTTATGTAAAGAGCAGAATTTGTAGCTTAGAGAGAAGAACTAGACCAGATGTATGAGTCTGGCAAGAAGGCTTTTGGTAAAAGTTTCGAAATCTATCTCAAAATTAAAGATATTAATAGCAGCACTGGTAATCTCCATTCAGCTAGATATCTAGACGAGGAATATGAAAGCTCAAAAGCTTAGAGTTTCTTTGTTGATATACTTTAGTAGCTAAGATCCTCAGTAAGATATAATTTATAATAATTGCTAATATTTTTTAGTGCAAGAGTAAATTCTATGAAAAAATAAATCAAATTTAATAAAAAATAGAGCAGGAGCCTCATCTATTAGATCTTGAGAAATGCATTTAGATGATCATAAATTTATCTAAATCCCTTGGTATCCTAATTGAGCGAGACATGTTGCTTTAAAAACTCCATCAATAGAGTTTGGAAAAAGACCGCTTATTTGAGAAAAGATAGGTTTAACTGATTGATATTGTTAACGAAATCAAAAGATTTGAGAAGCTTATCAAGGAAAACTCAAACTTAGTTGACAATATGATATTGCCTTAGCTCAAAGCTATGTCCACAACCTACAATGAGCATAAGTAAAAATACAAAAAACTTAAGCAAGCTTCATTTGTACTTAAAGAGAGGATTAAGAAAGCAGAAAAAGAGCATCAGACATTGACAGAGGAGAGGAGCAAATTCCAATCATAATTTCATTTAGGTTCTTAAGTAAGACATATTGAATAAGAAATACTGATATTAAATGAAAGAATAAACCAGGAGTAGCAAGAGATGGATAGATTAAATGAAAATGCGTCTCAAATAGAAAAAGAGTACAGAAGAGCTCAATAATCATTGCTCCTCAAAGAAAGGGAGTTACTTAGGAAATATGCTACAGATTCTTAGAAAAGTTTGAATGGAACTTAATCTCAATTGTTACAATCATAAATCATCAAGCAAGAATAAGAGGAAGATAGACTTAGAAAGAAATTTATTGAAATAGAAGAAAAAATAAAGATAACTTTGAAGGACAAAGACGAAGTCTATAAAAAGTATCATGATTTTCAAAGACTATTGAAAGAGGCTTAAGATTCCTTAAACCATGCTCAATAAAGTATAGATATTTTTCTTAACAATTTCTCTAGTGATGATATCAACTTAACGAATTATTGAGAATAATAGTGTGACAATAGGATCTAAGCAGTCAAATCAAAATAATTTTAGCACAATTCCTAATAATAGAAGGCACTATTAGAATTAGTCAAGACGAGAAGTTAAAGATGATTTCTAGGATGAGTATTAGGTAACATCCGTGACTGATAGTGAGATGGATAATAATAGCTAAATGGGAAGAAGCTTAAATAATCAAATGAGATAGCAAACTTAGAACTTGAGATCCTAAGATACCTTACAATCCAACAACAACTAGCAAAGAACATTTCATTCTAAGTCTAACTCTATAGCTTTAGATGGAAGTAAATAGTAATAAAAATCATCTATGAAAATTGAAAAAGAAAATTCTCAGGCTTAAATCAGAAGAAAAAGCATTGGGAAAATTGATTTGACTAAAGCATTGGCATATAGAGATAATATGTTCAGTATAAATGAGCCAGAAATAATTAAAAATCAAAAGAGTGATAAAGATAGTGCGGTATCCTATTATAATAACAGTGATCATAACTAGCTTCTATCTAATTCAACTAATGTTCTTGATAATGATACTAACAATAGAAATTAATTCTACATGGATAGCAATTATCAGAATATGAATTTCAACTCACTAAACAGATACTGCTCTAAAAATGCTACATAAGGTAGTGAAATGAGAAACCTCGGAGATGATATCATTAATATTCTTTAACAGAGTAACTTCCTTAATGAGAGCCAGACGAATCATTCGAATATGTCGATACTTAATCTATCTGATCTACTAATGAATAACAATGCACTATAGAATCTGCTTAATCTTGCTAATACCTAAGAGTCTAAATAAATGTCTTAATCTATTAATATTCAACAGTAGAATGATAATGATCCATAAAACAGGCCATTCTCTCAACTGACTTTCAACCACTCATAAAATGAAAAGCAAGCTAAGAATATGATGTCAAGCGAAAGTTTAAATTTAAATTCACAAAAATATCAAGTAAATTATCTACAAGAGTCTAATTTATCTGATTAAAACACATTGTAAAACTCTTAGTACTCTTATAAATACTAACCTGATATTAAGATAACTAGCAATCATTTAAGAGAATCAACAAATAGGTTACTATAAAGTTCGAATTAAAATTCTTAACTATTATTTGAAAATACAGGAGTCTAAAATATAAATAACTAAAGCAATGTCGCAGACTAATCTTTAATTCAATGTCTGAATGAAATTAATAATGGAATGAGCAATAAATCAAATACTATCCAGTCATTATAAGATTTCAAGCAGCAAAAGAAGAATCAAAGCATGATGAAACGAACTTCAATTGATACGGCTGACTTCTAATAGTATGAACCAAAGCAATCCCATACAATAGACTATGAGTCAAGAGGATATATGCATTAAGATTAAAGCTAACCCCACCTCAGCCCATAGATTAAATGTGATAGAGTTTAGCAATATGAGATTTCTCAAAATGATAACTAATAATTTCAAAGTCTCAATACTATAGAAATGAGAATGTCATAATAAAATCCATTGAAATAGAGTATTATTGGATAAAAAAATCAGATCAAGAGTAGTTGGATGTCTAAATACCTGAGTAACGTTAATGATTCATCTAGATTAGACTGCATTCAGGAAAGTGTATCACCTAAGCCTAATTAGAAAAAGGCTTAGAAATTGAGATATAAATCTGGAGGAAATAATTAAGTTAGAAATAGATCAACTTCACAGGAGTAAAGATTCAATAATAACAGCAAGCTTAATATGTCGATTAACTCAGTCAACTCAAGCATGAATTTCAATACATTGCATAATTAATCTTGCTATGAAGGCATTAATAGGTCCAATTCAAGAGGATTTACCAAGAAGAGCAGAAAGCTAAATAAGTCTCTCAATAACGTTGACTCCTCAATAATTTTATAGCAATCAATTAATTCATCTTTAATGAATCCTATTAACATGTCACTTAACTTCTAAAACCTCTCAAACTTCAAAAGTGGTTATAATGGTAACCATCAAAATAGTTGCTTTGTAAATTTTTAGAGTAACAATGAATCTGATCCATTGCATTTTACTAAAGTTGAAGTGCTATTTGGAGAAAGAATGGTGCCATTACTAGATGGGGCTGCTTTTTATAAAAAGTTTTCGAGTAGATAGAGTCTTAATGAAAATGCTTTTGATCCCTTAAATGCTGATAAATTCCCCCCAGAATCATGTGGTTACGGTATTAGACTATTCTAACTAGATAAATCCCTCATGAGTATCAATATAAGATAGAGTCTTAAGAACGCTGTTGAAAATACTATTTCATTAAATGAAATAGTAAAGCCAATCTTGCCGCAAACTACAATGGATATCATCAAAGCGCAAAAATAATTCTCATTATAATAGCAGGCTAACTAGCTAAGAAAAAGCAGTAGAAATGGATTTCTTGGACATTAAGGGCAAGGTAATCAGCAGAGTTAAGTAAACAGTGCTAAAGATCTTTTAGAAGAGTTTTTAATTCTTGATACTAAAGGAAGTATTAGTCATTTAGCTAAGATTGGAATAGTCAACAAGAACAGCGAGCTTTATAGACAAAAGTGTTTGGATTCTACTTATTATCCTTTCAGTATTGCTCTCACAAAAGGAAGAGTTGAGCTTATAGCAACATCGTATGAGACTCTTAAAAACTGGATTATAGGATTGAATCTTTTAGTAAGCAATAAGAAACATATTCCCAAAATCAGGTAAATTATGGATATAAGGCTTGATTGAAAATTAAGAATTTGATTTTTTAAAATCGAAAAAGATATTATTTTAATTTCATCAATATTTGCTTTAAACATTAGCGAGAGGGGTTTTGGGGTTTTGGGGTTTTGGGG